TAAGTGACTCCCTTTTGACTCCTGCTGCATGTTTTAAACCTGCGTAAAAACAGCACTACTGACAAAAGATTTTTTAAAGCATTTTATAAAACAAGAGGGTACGTTTTTAGTGACCACTAGAAACTGAGTGAAAGGCTATGGCAGCTGTGAGGAATGTCCTGTTCTTTGGTACCATGGGGTACACCAGGCGCAAATTCTATTTATTAATAAACTTAAAAGTCTACATAGGAATAACTGTAAATTAGAGTAAAGAACAGCATAATGTTTCAATAAAACTTCGTATTAAGAGTGAGGTCTAGTGAGGTAGTCATGTTTTACATGATGTTTGGGACAGAAACAGTGAGCTCTACAGTACAAGCACTACAGTCAGCTGCAGCACACCCACTGCCATCCACCACACTATGGTCTGAAAAGCCCTTTAGCAAGAGGAATGGATGCATTTTTATGTGGTGCTAATTTTATGTTTTACGAATAGGGAATTAAGAAGTCTTAATTCAAACTAATGCTCGATCTGGATTTCACAACATGGTTCAAAACTGGTTATTGATTAATGCATTCCACCCCTAGCTTATGACAAAACCAGGCCTTTGCTGAGGCATCAGTGCTGCCATAATGCATTTCAGGTAATACTGAAATGCATTAAGGCTGCAATGATCCTAAAACACGTTTGTCCAGTGAAAACAGAAAGCTGAAATGACCATGTATAATAATTTTCTCATTTTGGTCAAACTACTCTTCCTGAATCCTTCTGCATCACTCAACTGTTCTGTTATAATTAATTTACAACAGGACAGTTTTACATTTATGCAGATACTTATTTGCACTTAACACATATTTATAGGTTAGATTTTACTGTGTAAACTGGTGATGATTTTATAATATTTTGTTTACCATCTGGATTCTAGGTTCCATGAACACTTTTAAAAGGAAAACACATAATCACGTCGATTTCAACATTGTGTAAGGACACTTATAAACATGGGGACATTCAAAAGTCAGCAAAGTCTTAGAAAGTTGACTCACTGTGGTGATGAGTCACTTAGGTTTAGTGTGGTATGGTTTCAGGTTCTCTTTTTAGGAGGAAAACTGTTTACCGATTGCTCTGTTTGTGCCATTTGTTTTGCTTCTGGAATTCAGCTGTGTTTATTCTCAATGTGCATGTTAGCCACTTCTGTTCTGACCAGAAAAATCTGGGTACATTACAAGCTTCAGGTCAAATTTCTGTTTATTATCATAAAGCCAGGCTGTTATGTGAGGTTCCAGTAAACTAACTCAAATCCCATTTTCAGAGGAATCCCCTTTCTCTTCCTGAAAGAGAGTGCGGGGGTCTCCAAACCCAACGGTAATCTTAAGTTTTGTTGATGTTCGTTGGGAAAGTTTCCTTTTGCTTTCTGCCCACAGGGAAGCCAGAGCTAGTGCATCAGCCAAAGCACTTGCAGTAGATTTTATTTGTTTTTCTTTTAGGGCTTTTTTAACAGTGCTTTAAAAGCTCTGTTTTTTTGTACATTATGCAGAAATCCCTTTAGCTCTATACTCAATATTGGGTTTTTGCTATATGTTTTAACATGGTGTGCACATATTGTTTTGGTTTATCGCTATTTTTATTTCAGCAGAAGACTCCTACATGGTCTTGATAGGTCAAATTCTTGCTCAGAATAAAAAAAGCCTTTTTTTATCTCTTGTTTTTGTGTGTGTGGGGGGGAAATATGTATAATCTCCCAATATTAAAATTAATGCAACATATAACTGCATGAACTGGTTGAACCTAAAATAGGTGGAAAAATATGATGAGTCTTTTGGTTATTTCATCTTTGGTTAGATTTAATTTGAAACCTACTAGGCTTTTCTTTTATTCCTACAAAACTTAAAATGTTGCCATGCTCTATTCTTATTTATTTAATTTATGTGTTTCTCTATAAAATCTTGATTTACTTGTGTATTTAGGCACACAAGTGAATTTGAATGACCTTACAGCTCCGCTAGTCAGTCACAGAAATAATTCAATGCCAAATTCTAATAGGAACTTCATCTTAACTTATATTTTACAAAGATTAATTATAATGTTTTTTATCAAATAATTAATATTATTTCACAAAATAAAGAACAATACATGGACAATACTGAGAACCTCTTTAAGCGACTGTTGAACAGCAGCAGAGTGTCATCAGTCAAAGGCTCCCCCTGATCTGCAGTAAGACAGACCACTAAAGAGATCCTTCCTGACTGCAGCTATTAACATCTGCAACCACTTCATTTCCATACAGGAATGCTTTTTTTTTTATTTCAAACTAAACTGAACATGAATACTGATGTTTGGAAAATGTGTGTAATTTCTAGCGATTAACTTGTCTACAAAATACTGTTTTTTTTCATATCAGTTTTATTGTGTCAAAGAGAAATTTATGCAGTTTCCACTCATCTCTCTGTTTTTAAAGAAGGTCTAATTGTATGACAATTTGGGATGCAGACAAATAATTGAATAATGAAAAATTGTTGATTGTTGCTGTGCAATTTTCAATGTTTGCAAGAGGAACAAAATATGCCAAAGGACACTGATGTAAACTTGATAACTTTTACACCATATATAGAAACTATTCTTCTAGTGACATTTCTTTTTATTTATTATTATTTTTTTTTTATGCAACTACTGACCAATCTGGCCACTTTTTTGGTGTTATTGGAGACTTTAGTGAAGTGAAGTCACCAATTGCTTTAAATTTACTACACTTCAGCAAACAGTGAAGGCTTATGTGAGCCCCTCACTCCTCCGAAGCACTGGCAGGTTGTCAGACTCAGCAGCAGTTGGTCCCTGCAGTCTGATAGAGAAGCGACTGCTCTATGTTTTCCATTGAAAATGAGTCACATATACTCAAAGCTTTCATTGATCCTCCCGAAGCAGGATATAAATATAATATTGATATTTATATGTATTTTAACTACAAGTAGGTATTGGAATTAGCCTAAACTCATGTTTTTGTGTTTTTCACGTCTCTTCTTAGACATGATAATTGAACATTGTTAATGAGATTTTCCTATCTCATGTATGTACCTCTGCTAGATCTTAGAAGGCCTTAAGGAAATTGGACCTAATGTGAAATATCAGTCTGTGAATCTGTGTTTGGCTACTTTGTGGTTAAGGAAACAGTTGTCTGAGATGAAGGGGTCACCTGAATAAACCTTATTGGTAAGGATGCTGAAATTGAAGTGCTTCAGCCAATGATAAGTGGCCTCCGATTAGTGCTGGCAATAAGGCAGTTTGTGCTTCTAATTGTATTTTTGAAAAGCATGGCAGCTGTCATTTGTGGCAGCAAAAAGTTTCTTAAATAAATTTAATTAAGCTGGAGTACGAAAAATGTTTGCTTTTTTTTTCCCACTTTCTTGTAGAAAAATGTTTTTTTCAATGTTGGTATGCAGTAAGGTGCAAACAATTTTCATGCACCAATCTGGCTTTTGTCAGCTTATGTTAAATTTCCTTTTCCTTTTGAGATCTGACAGGATGGTTACGATTTTCTTTTTAAGGAATTCCACATAGGCAAGTTTGTCTGTGTCTACTAAGCTTTTATTTGATGATAAGTTCAATATTCACCAAAAAGTTAAATAAGTTCCTGAAAATGTATTTTGGATCCAACAAAAATTTAAAAGATTGCAACATTGTCCCAATTTGAAACCAAGCATTATTTTTCAACTCAAAGCAAACTATAAACCTGCTAATGAGCACCTTTACTTTTTATATTACTGTGAGAGTGATGGTGTAAAATGTACAGGAGAAAAAAAAAAACAAAAAAAAAAAAAAAAAAACACTTATAAATTGTAAGTTCTGTAAGCTCTGACAATGATTCCCCCCCCTGATATTTATTTATATGTAGAGGCTCAATTATAAATTAAAAGTCTCTCCACCTCCCTCTGACCCCCGACTCTTCTGCCCTCTCTTTTCTCTGTATCATGTTTGCATTGCAAAGATACTTTCTGTGGCCACCGTCCCAATGCTTGTTTTTTTAATCTCTTATTAATACAAGCCCCCCAATGGTATACTTTTCCAAGCAACTGATGTTTTCCACAGCTGTGTCCACATGGCTCGTTTATGATTTGATCTTGGCACTTTATAATTGATGCAGTCACACATATTCTGCAGAAGAGTTGCAGGTAGAATGAACTTTATCTTTAAAGGAGAAGAAAATATCTCTCAAAGCTTTCAGATCTCAGCTTGTTCTCCCTCTTCAGGTACTCTATAGGCCATATGTGCATCATTAAGACGTGAAATACCTCCAGGCTTTTAGCGATGTCCCCAAATCCCACAGAGCGACTCTCAGTAACGAGGCTGAACTTTTGTTTATGTTTGGAATATAGATTAGGCAGTTTAGCATGCCGCTAGAGGAAGGATTATAAAAGGGCAACTCAAGCAAGGCACATGTATGAAATTCTTTTTTTTTTCTGCATTGCAGTTCATTTTCATCTGCTATTGATTAAAATCCAACCCCCCAAGGCCCAGCCTGGCCCGTTTCATCACCCGTTCTGGGAAGAAAAAAAGTTTGGATTTTTGCTGAAAATAGCACTTCTCCTCGCTCAAATTCCACTGCCTGACTGCTGTGCTCCTTAAAATAGATCCCTCAGTGTGGAGATTAAATCTATAGGTGTCCAAATCCCCAGGAAGGACAACTGAAGGATTGGGTTTCATAGACGTTGAGCTGTTTAATGTGTTCTCTTCTGAAGTGGGTCGATGTGACAGTACCAGAGGTAATGTAAAGCGTTACTCAAACATACTGGCTTGAATTAAACGAAGCAGTAAAAGTGTGGCTGAACTCTCACGATACCCTTCAGCTCAGTCTTGATGTTGCAGTATATGATGAGCCGGTTACAAGAAATCCCTGTGTTGCAAGACAAAATATGCGCCATGATGGCATTCAGATGTGTTTCCTTTGTCAGCTTGCAGTGGCAAATACTTAAAGTAGTAGTAACAAAAAAAAAAAAATTCACCTTTTTCTTTCTCCCTCCTCTTCCAGGTTCTCCATCCCTCAGTGGTACGGGCACGGTAACTGTTCTGGTGGACGATGTTAACGACAACATTCCTCTTTTTACCGCTTCCACTTTTCACACAACTATCAAGGAGGATGCCCCGACAGGAACGGACGTGCTTCTGGTCAACAGCTCAGACGCAGATGTGGGCAAAAACGGCGTTATAAGGTATTCAAATATAGAGTGTTCTCATTTCCTTATTATGTAACCCACAGTCTTGGGGGAAAATTAACTCATAATTATTGTTAGACCAGTTATTATAAAAAAATAAGCAAAAAAAGTAAACTAGAACACTTCTCTAATGGACCATCAGCAACCATTACCAACTGTGTCAAGGCAAAGGATATGACACTTCTTTTCTGTCTACACCTAAGTTATGTGTTGACACATTGCAAGAGATGAAAGGCATGAGCAACAACCTTAAAGCTCCATGGTCATGTTTAATATATGTTTTTAATTTATGGTAGTTGCATATAACTTTTTTTTATGATTATCCTGTTGTTGTATTATCTGTGATTGTTGTAAAACTCTCTATGTACATTTATAATAGAAATGGAGATATAATAAAGCGCAAGTGTGCAGAGGGTAAACAAAGTAACCCACATAGCACCTCCCAACAAAGTGTGTAAACAATGAAAAAAAGAAAACATATTTGAGTCCAAGTGGTCTAAGACTAAAACAGTGGTAGTAGTACAGTATGAAGGTTGGTGTTTACTGAAGTGGAAGCTAAAGCTGCTGAGACATTCATATATGTCCGTTAAATTGATAGATTTATCAGTAATGGTCATATTGATACTGATACTAGTGAAAGCGATGCTTTGTCTCAGTCTAAGTTGAAACAACATTATAATACTTAGATTGGTTGACTGATTGGTTTTTTAAGGTATAGGGGAGGATTTTCCCAAACTTTTTGAAAAGGCCTGCCCTCTCCACTCTCCAAAAATACACATGGACAACCCTGTACCTGCTCCCTAGAGGGAACGCCTATAAAGTTCCTATTTGCATCGCTCATAAAAGCTTGCTTGTACACTTTTTATCTTATGACGCACGGCCATTTTGAAAGAACAGTGGCGAGAAAGGCGAGCTTCAATGAAAGGCGAGCATGCACAGAAAAAGAAAGCTAACTGATGACAAGCACGTAGGGCGGCCTTACGTAAACATTTCTCCAGAATGACTGACAATTAGGAGGACCACTTATTTAGACGATCCACCCGAAAAAAGAACACCATCCACTATACCTTTAATGTGATGCTGTGTCCCTGTTTGCATTTGTTAGCAACGGGTATTTTCCTTTCCCCGATGTTTGATACGAGGCTCTGCGATGGACTAACTAGAAATTAGAATTGCTGTAGATAATTTTGTTTAAATACTATTGGTTGTTCTTTTACCAAACTGAGCTGTTATTTTACCATGAGGTACTGCTAAATTCTTGGGCTCTATTAGGTAGCTGCCTCAACTGTCAACATTTTGCATTCTATTTATTCGATGCTACATGGTTCCATGGAACCATGAGCAACAATAGTCTTCATTATACCATAGTATTTAAGAGTCAAATGTGTAGTAATCAGACCAAGAGCCAAAACATATTTCAAGCCTAGTCAACAGCAGGATAAGGATCTCTTACACAGCAGCAAATCAACAACAGAATGAGCCGAAAATGAAGGAGCTGCAATTATCTAGATATTGACTTCTTTTTCTGCTTTTCTGTAGATCTTTTTCTTAATTTTTATGCGTCAATAATTATTCCAATATAGTGTGTTAATTTTGACAATGAGGCGGTTACTAAAATTTGAATTATTATTTTTCCATAATGTCATACATTACAATAAATAGTTTTTAGTTAATTAAAGATTTCACATAAGGAAATAATTGTGTGTTTCCAAAACTGTTTCTGAAGAAATGCATTAGTTTGCAGAGTTGTAGCAAAAAACAAATTTTTTGAATGGGCTGCTTTTTCCAAGCTCGGATAAAAGCTGTTTTTCCAATCACAGTTCCTGCCATTTTGGGTGGGGGGGGGGGGGGGGGGGGGGGGGGGTGTAAGACCCTCTGGCTTGATCTCTCTAAAGACGGACGCTGACTCAGGTTCAGCCCCACCTCTTTCCTCAGCAACCCCACTGAGTACACATTGGGGATACCACAGCGTGTTCCAGTTTCCCAAAACACAGTAATGAGGATGTTAATTGTTGATGACAGTAGGAGATGGTGCCCATCAGGGGTTCGAGGCCCTTTATGGAGTGCAGAACCGGTTACCTTTACTTAATAGATTTCATTCTCACAGATCATTTAACATAAAACATGAGCTGAACTACAAGCATCTGTGGACGGTTTATGTTGGGGAGGATGTCCAAATAAGCTGTGCATGAAGTTCACACGTTGTTCCACGATTTGTCGTGCTATCTCTGCAGGGGAACACTTTTCAAAATATGCACTGGTGTGTACATGTATGTGTCAGTTTACATTCAAGTCTGATATCCTGATGGAGACTCACAAGCTAAAGGATGAAATGCAATATTTATTTTGTGAGCAGAAGTGGCCCCCGCTACCTCTGTTCCCAATCCTGATGAGTTTATAGCACGAGTTTATAGCATGTTCCTGTTACATTATGAGCCATGCAGTTCTCAAGAAGTTTTTTTTTTTTTTACCCAGATTTCAACCATGACCATTTTGTTGATGTTGGTAAACATACAATGCTATAAAATATTTCTTCACTTTCAGAAGTGAGTTGAAATATCAGACCAACATAACCAGAATTAATGCAAAGATGCATTTTTTTATACTGCATGTTTGCTTTTTGTTTGTTACGGGTGAGCTTTATGTTAGAAGTGGCTAACTGATATAAATGAAATAACCCCTTAGCTCACGGATTTTACAGCATGTCTTTAGAAAAAAAAAAGAATTCAACTGTTTTAGTCAACCTTGAAATTGTTCTACAAGGTGACAATTCTTAGCGATATGTTTAATCTTGGACCTTTGAGTGCTGTTTTATATGGACATTTAACCCATACTGTAATAACGTGTATGTATTCATGTGCCTCAATTGCTGAAGTAGTTGTATTTGTTTTTTTTGCTAAATAAACAAATGGCATTAACTCCCGTCTTTGTGTTTCCAACAGCTACAGTCTTAGCGGGGGACACGGCCAGTTCTCTATCAACCCTGCAACAGGACAGATTATTACTAGCTCCCTCCTGGACCGAGAGGAGAGGGCCAATTACCAGCTGCTGGTAGTTGCAACAGATGGAGGGCAGCCGGAGGGCTTGTCCAGCTCTGCAACTGTATCTGTGACGGTGGCCGACATCAATGACAACCCTCCACGTTTCCATCATCACCCCTATGTGACCCACATCCCTACCTCCACCACAACAGGTGAGTCAGGGGCCATAAAATGTCTCACTTTGCACCTGGTAACGCACTTACCCCACTGTCCTTTTGAAACGTTTACATTAGAAAATCACTCATTCTAGGTATGATATATTTCCTAATTTAAAGTCAAAAATAAAACCCATTACTAGATTTTTGCACAAAAAGGGATATATTTAAAACAATTATTTCTATGGGCCTTAAATAATTGTAACCAAAAGCTAATAAGGCAAAATTTGGTTTTACTCGGAACATTAGAACATTGTATATGGCCAACAGAAAATATGCATATTTGAAATAGCGTTGAATAGTTTTGAAATAACCTAAAAGATTTAAGGGAGATTGCTGACTTACCAGTTGTCCATCAGTAATTGATTGTCTTGTATCCATAAGGAATATAAAATACAGAAGGTTTTTCTAAGCAATCAATAAATGTGGATTAAAGCCTTGGTTTTTTGGAAGACATTAACAAGGTGGGGATTGCTGCTGAACTTCAAAAGCCACCAAATACAGACATATCCAGTTCACAACAGTTTCATTGCTTGTGTTAAGCCACTCCAGGGCAAAGGAAAGAAAATCTTAAACTGTTGCTCAGTGGTTTGAAGTTTTTTTTGGATGAAAAATGTTCAGTATTTTATTTGGAAATAAAAGTCCTAGAGTCTAGAGGAAGGCACAGAATCCAAGCTGCCTGAGATCCAAAGTAAAGTTTCGAAACAGTGATGATCAGGGGAGTCTTTTCAGCTGTGAGTAAAAAGGCAAAAGCAAAATTTGGAACCTCATTACACTTCTTTCTGTGACAACCTATATGGGAAAAAAAAGTTATCTCATTGTTTTTACGAGGACTTGACACTTACCCACATTGCCAAAAGCACTGATACTTGCTTTAGTGAGGTCACTGATCTTGCAAAAAACCTAACCAAAACCCCATAGTGAATCTGCAGAGCAGTGTCAAGAGCAATGTGAGAGGCAACAGAGTCAACAAAACAGACAACTGCACAGGTTGCTGGTAAAGAAATCTTTCTGCAGTCCTCAGCAGATTTGCAGACTGATCACCTTCCTACCACGCTGCATTGATGTAGCTTTCTACTGATGCATCGATATGGTTATAAACTGATGCACTGATGTAGTAATATCTGTACTCTATGAACTTGAATACCAATCAGGTGGAAGCTATTATCATCAGCAGACATAAAAACTTGAGACAGATGATCAATGATAGCTTTACTTTCCAAAACCGAACTATTTAAATAAATTAAGATATTGAACACATAATGAACACATTCTAATCTGTATGTTTGCATACAGAAAATGCATTTACTAAGATGCCAGAGCAGAAAATAATTCCAATCTACTTGATGGTTTATTAATGAACCGGTCAAGAACCTGCTGAGTGATCTACTAACTAGGACCAATGGTTTCTGTGGTATTTCCCACCTTTTTTGGGTAGCACGAGGCAGGCAGGAACATGTATCAATAGTTCTGTACGGTTAGATATAAATGCAAATCTCAAACAGTCATTATTCAAAGACAGTGACTTATATGAGAACCAGTGTTGAACCCATTAGTGGTAAGAGCTGCTTGTGGCGCCGCATGTTCATTTGTAAGCATTTGTATTGTTTGATCAAAATGCTATGAAGTTAGAGATACCCTTTAATTCCAGGTTTAAAGGAAAATTAAGAGCTGAAACATAATGGTAGTGAATTTTAGTTTAAGTAGTCTAGAAAACTTTTTAGAGCCCGCACCCAAATAAAAGCATATTTGAAACATTATGTTTCTTAACTACTCATGCACTGTTATGCTTGTTTTTTTGTTTGTTTTCTTAAGAAGTAGAGCTTATATTACTGTCTTACACAGTTTAATTTTTTAGGAGCAAACATATCATTCTTTTCTTGTCCATTTCTGTCTTTAGGCTCCCTGGTTTTTGCTGTCACTGTCACAGATGAGGACGCAGGCTCTAATGCCCAGCTACACTACTCCCTGATGGGTCGAAACTCTGAGAAATTTAAGATTGACCCAGTAAGAGGTGCCATCACTGCCAATGAGAGGCTGTCTGGCAGTTCAGAGGTTACCCTGACAGTTCGCGTAAAGGACGGTGGAGCTAACCCAAGAATGGATTCGACCACCGTGACAGTGAGATTTGTCACTGGAGGAAGCTTCCCCGTAATAAAGCTAAAGGAACGGGCATTTACCTTTCTGGAGAATCAGCCAATAAACCACATTGTTACAACAGTAACAGGCTCCTCTATGAGAGGTGGACCACTGTCATATTACATAGCAAGTGGCAATATTGATAATGCTTTTCACATAGATCAGCTTTCAGGGGAGTTATCGATTAGACATCCACTTGATTATGAGCAGATTTCCAAGTACGTTCTGTGGATTGAGGCCCGAGATCAAGGTTTCCCCCCTTACTCTTCCTATGAGAAATTAGAGATAACAGTTCTGGATGTAAATGACAACCATCCGGTGTTTGGCAACGACCCATTTCACGCTGAAATACTAGAAAACCTTTCACCCCAGAGTGTCCTTATGGTCACAGCTGTTGATCTGGACAGTGGTGCCAGTGGACAGCTAGAGTATGCCATTTCTGAGGGCAACAAGGAGAACAGTTTCAGCATCAACCGTGCCACTGGTGAGATAAGATCCACCAGGCCGCTGGACCGAGAGAAAGTGCCACTTTACACACTAAAAGTGAAAGCCACAGATCGAGGTTCACCACCAAAAAGCACGGCAGTTAAGGTTCTAATTACTGTGCTTGATGTGAACGATAATGCTCCCAGGTTTTCAAAAATATTTAGTGCAACAGTGGCTGAAAATGCACCTGTTGGCTACACCGTTACCAGAGTTACCACAACGGATGAGGACGCTGGTTCAAACGCAGTGAGCCGCTACTCTGTGACAGATAATAGCCTTCCATTTAATATTAATCCAAACACAGGGGATATAACTATCAGCAGGCCACTTAATAGAGAAGACACTGATCACTACAACGTTAAAGTGTCTGCTCATGACTCTGGCTGGACAGTAAGCACAGACGTAACAATTTTCATTACAGATATAAATGACAATGCGCCAAGATTTAGCCGACCGTCTTATTACCTGGACTACCCTGAACTCACAGAGGTGGGTTCATTAGTCACGCAGGTCTCAGCCACAGATCCAGATGAGAGTGTTAATGGCAAAATTTTTTACTTCATCCGATCCCAGTCAGAGTATTTCAGAATCAATGCCAGCTCTGGAGAGGTGTTCATTAAGCAACAGTTGAAATATCAGAACTCAACTGGTCCTGGTAGTCTGAATATAAACAGGCATAGCTTTATTGTGACAGCCTCAGACAGAGCGGTGAAGCCTTTAATGAGTGAAACAACAGTGATTGTAAACATTGTAGACAGTAATGACAATCCTCCTGAGTTCGATTCCACCAGTTACTTCACCCCTGTAACTAAAAGTGTCAAAGTGGGCACCAGACTGATGAAAATCACAGCCTATGACAGGAAAGATTTTGGCCTTAATTCTGAGGTTGAGTACCTTATAACAGGAGGAAATAGTTCAAGTAAATTCAAACTAGACAAAATCAGTGGGTGGGTAACAGTCGCTTCTTCCCTCACGTCAGATATAAATAAGATTTTCCTTATTGACATCACTGCAAGGGACAAAGGAAACCCTCCACTGTCTGCACAAACGACAGCAAGGATTATAGTGACAGAAGAAAATCATCACACACCAGAGTTCTCACAAAGTCAAATATCAGCCACAGTACCTGAAAGCCTTGCTGTGGGAACAGCAATAAGAACTCTGTCTGCAAGAGACAAAGATAAAGAAATGAATGGCCTAATCACTTACAGTATAACCTCTGGTAACGATGAGGAGTATTTTGCACTAAACAGTAAAACAGGTGTGTTATCCTTAGCTCGTCCTTTGGACTATGAAAAACAACAACAGTATGAACTAAGAGTTTCTGCTTCTGATGGTGGCTGGATTTCCAAAACAAGTTATGTCTCAGTCACTGTTCAAGTGACTGATGTGAACGACAACCCTCCTGTTTTTGATCCTGATGAGTACTTCCCCTATGTGCAAGAGAATGTTCCCAGTGGCACCACGGTGCTCAAAATGAATGCTACAGACAGAGATTCAGGATTGAATGCTGTCATTGCATATGTAATTCAGTCATCAGACAGTGACTTGTTTGTTATTGATCCTAATACCGGCACCATCACAACCCAGGGCTTCTTGGACTATGAGGCAAAGCAGATCTACCATTTAACAGTGAAGGCTTTCAACATCCCAGATGAGGAGCGTTGCAGCTTCGCCAACATAAATATTCAGCTAAAGGGAGCCAACGAATATGTTCCTCGCTTCGTCTCGAAACAGTACTACTTTGAGATCTCAGAAGCTGCTCCAAGAGGTACAGTTGTCGGAGAAGTGTTCGCCAGTGATCGGGATCAGGGAGCGGATGGAGTGGTTTACTATCTCATTTTTGGAAAGAGCAGAAAGAAAGGCTTTGGTATCAACAGGATGACTGGTCAGATTTATGTCACAGGTACTTTAGACCGTGAGAAAGAAGAGAAAGTTTCTCTAAAGGTTTTGGCGAAAAATGCTGGAAGTATCCATGGTGCAGATATTGATGAGGTTTTTGTGAACATCACTATACTTGATGCCAATGATCCACCTGTTTTTACTCAAGATTTGTATGATGTGCAAGTGAGTGAAGGTCTATCCCCTGGGGGGCTTGTCACTTTTGTAAGTGCTGAGGATTCAGACTCAGTCCCCAGTTGGAGCAGGTTTTCTTACTCCATCGCTCCTGAATTTAATACAAATGTCTTCACAATAAATCCAAAAACAGGCCAGGTGTCTGTGGCTGCACAGCTAGACAGAGAGACAACTCCTATTTATAATCTGACAGTTCTGGCAATCGATACAGGCACTCCCCCTGCCACCGGTAGCACCATCATCATTGTGAATCTGGAAGACATCAATGACAACGGCCCAACATTGACAACCACCTATGCTGAGGTGATGGAAAACCAGAGAGCAGGCTCTTCAGTTACAACCTTGACAGCATCAGACCCAGATCTTCCCCCTAACCAGGGCCCTTTTCTGTTCAGTCTTTTGAATTCTGGCTCTGCCAACAGCTACTTCAGGCTCAGCTCTACTGGTATCCTAACGACCAGCCGTGAGATTGACAGAGAGCAGATTAGTGACTTCTACCTCTACGTGGTTATCAAGGATTCTGGTGTGCCTCAGATGTCCTCTACTGGAACAGTTCACGTCAAGATAAATGATCAGAATGACAACCCTTCAGAGACCCGGTCCATGGACATCTATGTCTACTACTTTGGAAACACCTTTGCTGGAGGTTCTTTGGGAGATGTCAGACCACAAGATCCTGACATCCATGATCGGTTCCACTGCTCCCTTATCCCTCCATCTTCAGGTCTGTTCACTATCCCTACAGGGACATGCAACCTTAAATCTAAAGCTCGCTCAACGGATGGATCATTTGAACTAGCCATTCGTAGCAGTGATGGTGTCCATGGATCAGTCAGTAACACAGCCAAAGTTTTCTTCATGGGGTTCAACAATGCCACTGTGGACAACAGCATTCTCATCAGACTGCACTCTGATGGAGTCAAAAGCTTTCTCACAAATCACTACCTCAGCTTCTTACGCATTGCCAACTCTCAGCTAGCAGGACTAGGTACAGGGGTGTTGCTTTATGGAGCATTTGAGCTCAACAACCAGACTTTTCTGATGGCAGCTGTGAAACGGGGCCATGGACAATATGTGAACCCCAGCGGCGTGGCCACATTCTTCCAGAGTATCAAAGACATTTTATACAGACAGAGTGGGGTGCAAATAGATGCAGTAGACCATGATCCATGCACACATAACCCATGCCAGAACGGGGGCAGCTGCAAACGGCGTCTTAGTGTCGGGCCTGATATGAAGACAGAGGAAAGTGTCCCTGTGATCCTGGTTTCCAACCACCCTCTGCAGCCATATGCCTGCAGCTGCAGGCCGGGATATGCAGGAGCCTTGTGTGAGATGGACATCGACGAGTGCCAGCCTTCGCCTTGCCACAATGGTGGCACCTGCCACAATCTTGTGGGGGGGTTTTCCTGCACCTGTCCTGAGGGCTTCACTGGGATGGCCTGTGAGAGAGATGTCAACGAATGCCTTTCCAATCCCTGCAAGAATGGGGCTCTCTGCCAAAACTTCCCCGGGGGCTTCAATTGTCTCTGCAAATCCGGGTTTGCAGGTACTACACTTAAACACAGTTTAGTATATATATATACAATTTGTCACCCTTTATATCTGATAGCCAGGGGGAAAAAATCCACTCTATGAAGCATCAGATGAAGACATTTTTTACCTGTTTTTTAATGCAACAGAGTTTGTAGTAATAATACAGTGTGAAAAAGGAGTAGGGGTGTCAATACTTAAAAAAAGACATTTTAAGTCCTAGACACTATGGTTACACATACAAGTGTAAATATGTCCTCCTACTGCTTCCAGTAGACCACTTTTTTGAGCAAACAAACAAGTTGGGTTTTCTTTTTTGGTTTCTAGTTGGGGGGTGTCAGCTGTGATGCATATCAGCCTGCAGTGTTTGCTTTAATAAAACAGGATGATACAAAGCTGACCTTCGTCAAAGATCCTGTCTTCACTACATATACAGTTGACTAGTGTTCTATTTCCCTTTGTGCCTTCATGCACAAGCAGTTCTGACCACACACAGACACAAGGATCTCTGCTGCATTACACACACATATTTCCTCATCATGGATTTGTTATTTGGCTGCGTTTTGAATTATTTCACAAATGAGCAGTTTCATAAGAGATCTAATCAGGCCTCTTAATTTGGAAATTTAATGAACACAGTGCATTATTGGTCTGAATTAAAGAGGAGTGGATTTTAAGTGGAAATAGTTTGAACAGCCATTTGGATCCTGTCTGATGTTTAACCTCTGTCTGAGGCATCTGAAAGAGATTTTGAAAGCATGCTCCACAGGGCAATTTGCCTGAAGTGAAGTCATTACTGTCCCTTTTTATTATCACGATAAAAATGGCCACAAATCTTAAAAGTTTTATCAAGATGAACTCCCCGCATGCACAAATGAACCTTGTGACCTACAGTAGTTTTTGTGCCCTCCCTTTAAACTTTAAACTTCCTGTTCTCCATAACAGGATTTTGGCAGCTAAATCTATCTCCATTAAGCAGTATGTCTCAGGATTTACAGCATTAAATTTACAACCCCTGGCAAAAAGTATGGAATCACCAGTCTTGGATGAGCACTCATTCAGACATTTCATGCTGTAAAACAAACTCAGATCAAAAACATGATACAATATTAAGGTCGTTCCAAAGTGCAACTTGTTGGCCTTCAGGAACACTCAAAGAAATGAAGAGAAAACATTGTGGAAGTCAGTGAATGATACTTTTATTGACCAAACACAGGGAAATAAATATGGAAAATATGGAAAAACGCATAAACAAAAGACCATTCAAAATACATCACTAGTATTTAGTTGCACCACCTTTGGCTTTTATAACAGCTTTCAGTCTTTGAGGCATGGACTTGATGAGTGACAAACAGTATTCTTCATCAATTTGGTGCCAACTCTCTTTGATAGCAGTTGCCAGATCAGCTTTGCTGGTTGGACCCTTCTTGTGGACCATTTTTTTCAATCTCCACCACAGGTTTTCAATTGGGTTGAGATCTGGACTATTTGCAGGCCATGACATCGACTGAATGTGTCTTTCTTCAAGGAATGCCTTCACTGTTTTTGCCCGATGGCACGATGCATTGTCATCTTGGAAAATTATTTCATCATCACCAAACATCTGTTCAATTGAAGGGATGAGAAAACTGTCCAAAATGTCAATGTAAACTTGTGCATTGATAGAAGAATTAACCACAGTCGTCTCCCCAGTGCCTTTGCCTGACATGCAGCCCCATATCATCAAGGACTGTGGAAATTTGGTTGTTTTCTTCAGGCAGGCCTCTTCATAAATCTCACTGGAACGGCACCAAACAAAAGTTCCAGCATCATCACCTTGTCCAATGCAGATTCTTGACTCATCACTGAAGACAACTTTCATCCAGTCATCCACAGTCCATGATTGCCTCTCCTTAGCCCATTGGAGTCTCGTTCTTTTATGTTTAGGTGTCAATGCTGGTTTTCGTTTAGCTTTCCTGTATTGAAATCCCATCTCCTTTAGGCGATTTCTTACGGTTCGGTCACATACATTGACTCCAACTTCCTCCCATTTATGCTTCATCTGTTTAGTTGTACTTTTTCGGTTTTCAAGACAAATGGCCTTAAGTTGTTTGTCTTGACGCTTTGATGTCTTTCTTGGTCTACCAGTACGCTTGGCTTTAACAACCATTCCATGCTGTTTGTATTTGGTCCATATCTTGGATACAGCTGACTGTGAACAGCCCACATCTTTAGCAACCATGCGTGAAGGGTTACCTTCTTCAAGAAGTTTCACAATCCTCTCTTTTGTTTCAAGGGACATTTCTCTTGTTGGAGCCATGGTTCTCACCACTCCACTTGGTCCAGCAGCCCTCCAAGGTGTCATGACTGCAGGTGTTTTGAACTGCACACTAACGGGCACATCTAATCTGGGGCAGGTGTCCATTTAGGGAAAGGAAATAGACTGGGTGTGTCCTTTTTTTTCTACCTCCAATTTGAGTGATTCCACACTTTTTTCCTCAGAATTGAGTGATTCCATATTTATTTCCCTGTGTTTGGTCAATAAAAGTATCATTCACTGACTTCCACAATATTTTCTCTTCATTTCTTTGAGTGTTCCTGAAAGCCAACGAGTTGCACTTTGGAACGACCTTAATATTGTATCATGTTTTTGATCTGAGTTTGTTTTACAGCATGAAATGTCTGAATGAGTGCTCATCCAAGACTGGTGATTCCATACTTTTTGCCAGGGGTTGTACTCCCAGAGTTCACTGTCAGTTTGTTTCTTTTGTACCATGTGCCATGCATCATTTCTGTCTGTTGTTTTTATTATCACTGTCACATTCCTTATCAAGATGTCAAACCTATGCCTGGATATGTGGCAGCCATCCATGTACATTTCAGCAGTTTGTCTGTCTGCACTGCAAAAAAGAAAAAAAGCCTGCAGTAGGTTAGGAAGTCTGATTGTTCTGGCCAACTTTCTGAAATAATTTTGCTTTTTCTAATCAAGTTAGTTGTTCATGAAATAATTACAGTCCAAAAAACAGTTGATATTTAGCCATGGTAAAAATGAATTACACTCTCTGTTTGGAAAAGTGTTTTATGTAAAAAGTCCGATCTTTTAATCCTATGTTGTATTATACAAAAAAACCCCACCAGATTTTCTCCATTGTTGTCATAGAACAACAAGCTTTGTGTGGAAAATTAAGTACATCCCTGTTGCTTTTATTAAATTTCAAAGGAAAAAGTGCTTCCAATCAATTTGAAATGGGTTAAGTCATCAGTATATTTATGGTGTTGACCCTAAAGTCTTCATTGGAGTAGATGTTAAGAAAGTCAAAAGCAAAAATTTGCAAAAATAACCATAATGAAATCCATCTCAAACTCTGAGATTTTTTTAGAGAAAGAATAAATGTCTTACTACCACATTTTGTCCATAAAGAAGATGAATGGATCATGGAGGTCTGTGAAACAACAGGACTCTCGGATTAAAATTTAGATCCAGAGTGGAGTAGAGTATGCTTAAACACCTCATACATCATACAGTATGTCCTTGCCATCATACAGTAGATGATGATTGTTTGGGCTTAATTTTATACCAAACTATTCTAGTTTGGTGTGAGGTAATCTGATGAAGAGACAAAACTTGACTTACAGCAGGTCCTCAGCAGGACAATGATCCTAAACACAAGCAGCTAATCTACAACAGAAGGAAATGAAATGAAGTAGTGGCAATGATAGGCTAACCAGACTGGTTGAAATATTTTTTTTCCTCAATTTTTTTTATGTGCAACTAATTTAGTAAAAAAGAGGGAACAGTCCCACAATGTTCCTGTACAACGATCTGAGAGTTACTGTTAGTAAAAATGGGTTTACAAGCTAATAAATAATGGGATGTACTTTCTTATTCACACAGAGCTGACCATTTTCCTTTATTGTTGTTTTATTAATAATATTACAATGGGTTATATTATGTCGTCATAAATAAATCCCACAACATAAGGTTTATCTACTTTATTTTACTTTTCCATGATTGAAACCCCCACCCCAAAAAATAAAATTTTATTTTTATTTTTTTTGTTGTAATAAAATTTTATTTTTTGGGGGGATTTGCAGAGCAGTTCTCAGCTGTGATGTCATGAATAGTTAGCATGATTCAGTATTGAGCATTGTCTTCTGTGTTGTTGTTTTTTGTTTTTTTTTCCACCACCCCATTCCATTTTAATTTGCGTTGTTTTGTGAACTCAGGCAAAACGTGCGATTCCATCATCAATCACTGTGAGTGTAACCCTTGTTTTAATGGCGGCTCCTGTCAGAATCGGTTGGATGGATATTACTGTCACTGTCCGTTCGGTAAGTAATGAAAGGAAACTTGCAGGGTGACATGGTTTAAAAAAAAAGAAATTGCAGGATAAATGATTAATTAGGAAAAACACTGCAAAAACTGACCTAAAAACAGCTCAACATTTCTTAAATGATGTGTATTTGCCCTATTTAAGCAGGTGGATATGATGATCTGAAGAAAAAAATGAAAATATTATAACTGTAAATTTACAGTCATATGTTTATATTATTTTTTATATATATATATATATATATATATATATATATATATATATATATATATATATATATATATATATATATATATATATTGTTACTATTTTTTATGGCTGCAAAGATGAAATTGTCCAGAGAGCTGTTCCAAACAAAATTCATTTTTGTTTTACACTTGTGTGAACAAAATGACAAATAAATCTGTCTAAATCTGTCTAAGATCTGCCAATGGAATATGATAATTATATTATGCACTTGACATCAAATAATTGTAGTTGTTTTCATTACCATTTTACAATAGGGCTCACCTTATATACTAATTTATAGGGATTTATTGTTCATTAATTAAGCAATAAAAAGAGACAAAACTGACCTGTTACTTAGGTCGCAATAAGCTGTTCAACAATTTATATAATCTAGAATCGTTTCTATTCAACATTTCAGACTTAGTTACCACCTTCTTAGCAAAATAAGTAATCATTGTAATAATCTATGCATAATATGTTGAATGCATAATAACATATATGAATTTAACACATAAATTAACTTATAACACATCTGTAAAGTATTTGTTAGCCATTTATTATGGGAACCTTGTTGTAAAGTGATGCTTCTTTTATTTTAAACATAAATCATCATTTTCCTTTGAAAAATTAATGTTACCTACCTGCCCAAATACAGGTGAAATACATTTATATTAAGAAAATTTGGCTGACTTATATTTTAAAATTTGCGCTTCAACCATTCTCAAACCCGTTTGTTGTGGAAATGCTCCACCGTCTTCATCTTCATTCCCTCTATGTTTTATTACAATTTAGGTAGTTTTTGCAAGGCTATTTCACAAGATGAGGATTTGCTTGATTCAGTGTAAACATATTATGTAAGATTTCAATTTGATTTGTAGATATTTTGTTTTTGGACCAATCTTTTTCTGGTATGCTTGTTCCTCAGGGGTTTTTGGTAAACACTGCGAACTGAACAGCTATGGTTTTGAGGAGCTCTCCTACATGGAGTTTCCATCTCTGGATCCCAACAATAACTACATCTACATCAAGTTTGCCACCCTGATGAGCAACGCTCTGCTGATGTACAACCACGACAATCAAACAGGCGACAAGGCGGAATTCTTGGCTTTGGAGATCTTTGAGGGCAAGATGCGTTTTTCCTTTAACCTGGGCAGTGGGACCTACAAACTGATGACCATGATCAAAGTTTCAGATGGCCAGTTCCACACAGTTATCGCCAGGAGAGCTGGGATGGTAAGATGCCTGTCTTAAATCAAGCTTGTAAATCCCTTTATTGTCCCACAATAGGGAAATTCACTCTCTGCATTTGACTCATCCCCATGGGGAGCAGTGGGCTGCCACTCTGTGGCGCCCAGGGAGCAGTGTGGGGTTAAGGTTTTTTTTCAGGAACCCAGAGTAGAGGCTGTGGGGATCGTACCAGATACATACAACCTTCTTAAAGCAAAAGCACATTTCTCTAACCACTAGGCCAACACTCTCCATTAACAAGCTTATGGCCATTATTCATTTAACAGATCTAGTCACCATAAGAGGGATCAACAGAAAGAACTGTATTCAACACATTTATGTCCTGAGCTTTTACTGCTTAAACCTACAGTCTTTTTTGGCTTTAGTCTCTTCAGATGATAATTAAAACCCCAAACCACTGATAGCTCAGCTTATGGTTTTTATAGTCTGTAATTACATATTATGGTTGCTAGGATTTATGAAACCAGAATCCAGAAGGACTCTTAAATATGAAAATGTGTCTCTCGTGCTCTGAATGTGAGTCTCCTCCATGCCGACAGCACTGTGGCAAACAGAGGGGAAAAAAGCCTGATCAGGTTCTGTCAGTTCCCTCCTAATGCTTCAGTCCTGCTGGACGTCAAATCTGCTGTTCCCTGTAGGGCAGAGAGTTTTCATAGGAAGCTGGTAAAATCGTTAAAAGTTGCAGAGCGATGGGGCTGAAAGGAATATAGCACATATCAAGGACTGTGAATCAGTGAAAATGGTGCTCTTGAAGAATGAGTGAGAAATGTTAGGACTGTAACGCCAGCTCCCTATGGGGCTGTAAAGCTCAGCTAATGGTCGTGTTTGCAGAAGTTGATGTGGGTCATTTCTATGGTTGGGCATCAGGTCAGTCCCCAGTTCCTGTTCCTGACTTATGATCTCAAAAACAGGCCAAAACCACAGCCAGATTTCTCATTGAAGTCTCAGAGTGATCAGACAGAGAGGAGAGGAGATGTTTGAAACCATTTCCAGCAACATTATGTCTGGATGTAGATTAGCAATCAAATCCTTTTTAAATGCATAAAATAATCATAGTTCTGTTACTGAGTTGGTCTGGTCTGATAAAATTTGTTTTAAAAGGAGAATCAGTGCTTTTCTTTCTGCCATTAAAGCAGAGGAAAAAAAAGTGAGACTGAAGCTGTTCATTTCAATTCAGTTAATTTATTCAGTGTGAATTTACAACATATGTCATTCACAGGATTCTCTGCCCCTGGATGAGCATGTGGCAAAAATGTTCTCTTGCATTTTGAAGTTGACCCTACGGCAATCCTTCACACCTAGCATGCATGCAGCAACAGTGGAGAGGAAAACTCCCTTTTAAGGAAGAAATCCGCCTGCAGAATCAGTCTCAGTGTGAGCGGCCTTCTACTGAGGCCGACTGGGGTTTTAAAGACACAGAAGCAGACATGCAAATAGAACATAGAAGTACTGATCTATAAATGGTCTAGCTTAATGAGAGGTTCTGGCTAGGAAAGAAACAACTAAACAGGAGAATGGTGAATGATTTTTCAAATTAAGTTAATTTAGACGCCTTTCCATAGCTCTATTTTTCTCACAAGGGTACAAAAAATGTAACCAGTGTGTATACACGTTCATGTGGATAAAACCTCAGCAACATTTGCAGATTGCAAAACATTGTTTACCATAGTTTACTGGTCTCCTACACAAAAGGTAAAAAGTTGCACAAGCAGGAATTGCACCTTTAGGCAAGACTGGCTAAAGTTAGCAACATTCAACAACTAAATACATTGAGAAAATTGCACCTTGTGGAGAGCACACTCATGGTCTTCTCTTCCTTAAACAACAAGCCCACACACACAAGTAAAAACGAGTTACTCTCACACTCTCTGTAACTCAGGTGTCAGAGTGATGACTACTTTAAAATTAGGTTTTAAAATATTATTAGTGCTTTAGGTTTTAATTAAGCATTCATCTTAGATGCTTCACTGCAGATGTAAATAAAAGAAAGCAGGAAAATAGATTCATTTCTACTGAAATAAATTCTGTATAATGTAACAAAGGTATTTTTGTTTGAAAGATAAAAAATGCCTTTGTAATGATACTGTAATTAAGCTAACTATAAAAGAGGGAAAGTATGGATGGACTTACACACAAATAACAGAGCCTGAGTGATTGATGGTAGAGTACAAATTCAATTCAATTGATTTCAAAAAATGTTATTAATTCCAAAATGGAAATGACCTAAGATTAAATTAAAAAACACGCCTGTATAAACAGGGTAGCTTGTTTTTAATTAATAAGAAAACCTAAAATACTGGAGGCATTTATAAAATGCAATCTGACAGCCTAGTTTTGTGTGCTGTCAAACAGCATCACCAGAAAGCTTTTGTTTTGTTTAAAACAGGCGTAGAACAGCAAAAGTAAAGTCCCTCCACAAACTTTATCAAGGGAAAAGCGAATCAGTATCAACAACACACAAAAAGGCATTCTTCATTCTTCTATGTATCATTTACTTCTCATTTCTAATTCTTTCTTGTTTTTTTTTAAATGTTGCTTCTTTGTACAGCTGTACTGAATCTATGTGTGAGACTGAACAGGGGATCATATGTGTGTGTGGGTATGCTGGCCCTGTAGGGTCATGCTCCACTGGATGATTTGTGTCAGAGATCCGGGGCAGTGTGGTCCATGTTGACTTAAACTCCAGGAGAGGTGGAGCGTAATTGCTCCAGTTTTTCAACACTTTCACACACTTTTCCGGACAGTTTCCTCGCCGGCACATTTCTTTTCTTCCTCCTGGGCTTGTTCGCCACATCAGAACACAGAAAATACAACACACATCGGGGCAAATGCTTTACTGGCACTGACGGAAAAACAGGAAACTGAAAATGTTTGGCATTTCTGTGCCACTTCCTTATCAAATATTTAAATCAAATAACAAAAAGGGTTTGTCTAAATGTGTTATAGAGAGCTAAGTTCCCATTAACTCCTAAATGACCGTATAATCTGGTGAACTGTAAAGTGCTTTAAGATGACATGTTGTGAAGTGGCGCTATAGAAATAAACTGAATGACGATCATCCTTTCACATGGAACCAAACCCTTAGTAAAAGCATGAACTGGATGCTGAGAGAGATTAAGGGCATGATCTTCTTATAACTGTTTGATTACTGCTAGTTTGAGAAATGTTCCTAGAAGAAAGATGAGGTTCACAGTCATGGAGATGAAGACGATAGTGATAATTGAAAAAAAAATGATGACGATACAAAATAATAGTTATAGTGTACCTCGTAGCTTATTTCAAAGTGCTACGAACAAAAGTAAAAAAAAAAATGGCATACTTCATGTATGGTAAGTTCATTAAATGTGAGGAGAAAAAAATCTACCAGAAATTTAGGCACTAAAATCTATTTTCAAATTCAGAGTTTGATATTTTTGATACTACAGTCTTTTTAGATAAAGCATTAATTTGCCTACTTAGATGCACACTTTTGTTGGGAAGTACTTTGTCCTCCACCTCGTTAGCGCGTAATGTGTCAGTAGAAAATGCTAAGCACACTATGATGCTCTGTTCAAACCAACAGTGTCAGATCATAAAAGAAATCTATGAGAAGTTATGTTATCTTCACAAAAATATGACCTGTGATGTTTGCGGGAAAACTGTGAGAAACCTTTACCTGTTGGTGAATAAACCCCTTACCTTCTTGCTTTGAATCAAAGTGTTGATTGTCCTATTATATTTTTCTCTCAGCAGCTGTCTGGCATCTCATCTACCTACCTAACTAAAATAAACCGCATCTGTCTGCAATCACATGGTGTATTTTAATAGCATAGAGTTAAGAAGTAATTTGGATCATCTCTTTTAACTCTTTACAAGACATAAAATAATCACTTTGTCTCAAAAAAGCTTACCGTCTGTTTAAGTTAAACAGAATTTGTTTATTTAGTGAAACATTTTCAAAGTTAGTTGCAATAAAGCTGATAATAAATCTGCTGATTTTAGTGCTGAATATTTTGATTAGCTTGTAAAAATAAGGGAGGTAATTGGGCAGAGAGGACCTGTAGCGTCTAATCAGTTAACATTGCGGCATGTTTAGCATCCATCCTGTTAGCTTCACATTATAAATCCTGTAAAGGTTAGGAAGGGGGAGCTGGAACCCGTCCCAAATGCCTCTGGATGAGAGGGGAGCTACTCCCTGAATGGCCAATCTGTCTATCAGTGGGCTACAAGAGTGAGCCAGACGACTAGGCATGCTTAGGCTAACTCCTACGGCCAATTTGAAAACTCATATTAATCTTAACATGCATCTTGGACTGGAGGGGAAAAAAATATATACCTACATAAATACATAGCATAGATAAATGGATACATTTTTAAAAACGGTTTATAGGGTGGAATTTTGTTTTTATCAAAAAAGTTCTATACAAACCACCACCAAATAGCTTTGAAAAGAGGTAAACTCTTTATAAATATAAAAAAAACAACAGATTTTATTTTATTTATAATGAAACCCAGTCAGATTACAGTAGCTTTGGATTCTAATGTCCTTATAATAGATCTTCTCTTTTTTTTGTCAGCTTGGTTGAAAGCCTGAGACAATTATTACAGAATACCAGTGGGGGAAATAAAGCATCAGAGTCCAAGGACCAAAGCAAGCAGGACAGGGATGAAGTTGCGGAATAGATTACCAGAGGTCTAGGTTATTAAACAGTATCCCAAACTCACATGACTTGACAGAACTCTAGTTGATCAATAAATGAAATTTAAAGAGCATGGTCCATTGGCAATGCATGATTATATACTATAGAATGGCCATATGGCTATAATGATTTGAATAGAATAGTATAGAATAGAATAGAACTATTGATTTCACAATGGAGAAATTAAATTGTGACATTGGCTTTTTAAACAATTGCAGGTGCACAATGGAGGTAAAGGTGTATGAAGTATATACAATGTATCCAGATATATACAGTGAACGGTAAAATCTAAGTAAGGTGGTTTATATATACAGTATCTTATGTACAGTGAAGTGGTGGCAAGTAAAGTGTAGTTTCTGATTTGTTAAATAGATAAATAGTATAAGTTATTGCAGCGTTATTAGACCAGGTTATAGTGCAGTGGGAGTGTAAAGTCTGATGGCAGCAGGGATGAATGACATTTCAGGAAAGGAAAGCGTTAATAGAAGAACCAACCCTGAAGAACTTGAGCTGTAATTAAAGCAAATATGGCTCTACAAAGTATTGATGTGTGGAGATTATCATGAATGTACAGAGAGAGATTTTTGTGAAATTATTTACATTTAAGTTTGTGTTAAAATGTTAGAAAAGGAGCCACAGATACGTTTTAAAATAACTGTATATGGATGGATTTGCCGTCATAGATGAGAATAAATGACGAGTCTCCGTCAGACATAGTCTGCCAGGAATGATTCAGGTTGTTTCCCATGATGTCAGGAATTCTTTCAGACAAAGTGGCTTTCAGCTTCCTTCCTGAAACAGCGTCTGTTGTGTTTTTGTCATTTCACAGGCAGCCTCCCTTACCGTGGATCTGTGTGGTGAGGACCAGGAACCAGGGTACTGCGCTGTTAGCAACGTGGCTGTACACACCGACTGGTAGGAGAATCTGACACACACACACACAAACACAGTAGCTAATGCTTTAGGGTAACTCTGGATTAGTGGGAAGATTGGTCGCCTTGCAATCTGCAAGTGGTGGGTTTGATTGCAACTTCCTTCTGTCAAATGCCGATGTGCTCCTAGACAAGGTGTTTAACTCCAGGTGTTTAACTTCAGGTAGTCTACTGATCTGTGAATCATTATATGTGTTGTGTAACAGGGTGGAGGTCATCTTAGTGTAAAGCTCTTTGAGAGGTGTGACTAGCAAATGTCCCCAATTGCTTTAAATGGGGCTAAGCTTGGAAGTTACAGGTCTACTGCCCCTAGTGTCTAAAGCGTACACAGTGTTGCTTTAAACTCTCTGACCCAAACCTTTTTTTGTGGGCTTTAAAGAAACTGGAAAACAGTTGAATGCATTTTGGGAGCTTTTGGATGTCTGAGAATGTGCTTGTTTGCGTGCCTGTTTTCACAGGATCCTGGATGTGCACCCTAACCGGCTCTCGGTCGGCGGCGTCAGGTCGATAGAACCCGTCCTTCACCGCCGTGGTCAGATCGCCACCCACGACTTTGTGGGCTGCATCATGGAGCTCGCCGTCAACGGACGTCCACTGGAGCCCAGTCAGGCATTGGCATCGCGTGGCATCCTTGACAGGTCTGCAGCCCCCCCGCTCCCATTCTTTTACCGTCTGCATTTTTCCCCTTTTTTCTCATCCTTCCATCGTCTCCAACCTTCATGGCTCCTGCTGTGGGACATCTGTTCACACTTTTTTATCCCCTGAGACTTTTTAAAAGATGTTTTTTTAACCACGAATGGCAGACCTTTGATGGGGAAAGGCAGTTGCTGAACATTTTCTTCTCTATCTCAGCAGTGAATAGTAGGCAGAGGCAGATCTTTTAATATGCTAATCCTCTTGGGTTCTTGTATTGGTTTTTGTACTGGCGCTCCGGGAGACAAATCAAAGCTCATCTGCTCCTGTTTTTAGAGTTTCTTTAACAGCAGACCTCCAGGCTTCTTACTGTGAGGCTTAGCTGTCAAATTGCCCATCTGATTGTCGGGATTTTGTATGGTTGTGTGTCTATAGATGCCCAAGACTGGAAGGAGCCTGCACTGCCAGCCCCTGCAGACACGGTGGAACCTGTTTGGACCACTGGTCTTGGCAGCAGTGTCAGTGTGTGGACGGCTTTACCGGGAAATTCTGTGACAAATGTAAGTATCTGCCTTTGAATTGTTAATTTAGTCAATTTTGCATGATCTATATGTACAAAGTTATAGAAAAGACTTTCGGTGTTTCATTGTGACGTTCCATATCCTGTACAGTACCAGCACACATCAATTTTGAGGATTACATATTCTTACTGGAAACAAATAGTGGCATTGCTGAGAAAACTGGAAACTATTGTGTGTTTGCCGTCAGGTTCAATTTAGGGAGAAATTTGCAGGTTGACTTTGCAGCGTGAAAAAATAGAACCATATTTTTCTAATCCAAATGCAGTCATGTGAAAAATACATGCTGTAGAAGAGATCGAGGCTCTCCTATGACAGATTAGGAGAAAAATTATTCCAGTAATCAGAACCAGAAAAGTTCCTCTTAGGGTGGTTGTAGAATAAAAAGCAACTGTCAAAGGCCTTTTGTAGCCTATAAAGTATTAAGTTCAACATTTTTTTTTTTTTTTTTTACCTGTTCTAAAAGTTAGGGGTATCAACTTGTCTGTGTGCATTCCTCACCTGCAATAGTCTCATTCTTTTGCAACAGGTTTTCCTCGAGGATTGTCAAATATTTAGCTTTGTACTCCCTGCAGTCAAGTTGTGTCAAACCCCTCCCCGTATCATAATGCAGCCCTTGTCATGTGGCACTGAAGGGGCAGTGTTTTGAAAAGATAGAAAATGTAACTTCCATCTCCTCTGTCTGGACCACCTTCCTTGTATTAGAACCGCATTCTTCTTGCCACTCTCCTATAAAGATCATATTAATGAAGATTATAACTAGCAGTTGTTCAGTCAAAAGATTTTTCGACCTGAGCTGTGGGTCTCTGCAGGTGCAATATACTGGTGAAGATTCTCAGTGTTTTCGTGTTCACTTTGTTTCTCTTTAGGTCCTCTAAGGTAACTGTGGAGCTGGTTCTGCCTCTCTTAATAGGGCCTTATTTGCCCTTTCAGTTTAATTGGACGGCCATGTTGTACTAGTTAGATACCGACCTATATATCAAATATTTTAGACCGTTCTCTGTAGTTATCTAACCAGAACCTCCTGAAGGTCCCTTGGAACCTGTTCAAAACTCAGGGCGACCTGTCATTTCAGGTAGACTCCAGATTTCCGCCATACGTCCATGTGGCCAACCCTCATGACTCCTCCTAAATTTTATGCATATTTTTTTATGAACTGTTTTGTTTTTTATTGTATTGTTTTATATTGATCCTATATCTTTTACTTAAGCTGAATTTCAAAAGTATTTTGCTTTAACAAAAAATGAGAAACCATAATGTCCTTCTCCTTCTCCAACAGTTCGAGACCTAACAAAAATGGGTTAGCCAATCCCCTAGCGATATCATGTTTTAAGGAGGCATATAGCTATAATACAAACAAGAGCTGCTTAGCCCACAGTAGAAACAAAATAAACAAGAAAACACAAGATGATGTACGCATTGCTGCTGCTATCACATTTGTTTTGTTAGAATCCACGATTTCATCTTGGAAGGAGGAATAGCAAGAGCATAAAAGCCTATGTTTTTGTGGTTCCTCGTGTCATCTGCTGCAATTTAATTTGTTACTGTGACTGGCTGAAACCAAACTTTCATAGGTGGACAATAGTTATCGCTTTGCCTAATCAACGGCTGAATAATCCTCCGCTCCCTGAACAGGTTTCATTCAGAGCAGTCCTAAGGCAAGGAAAGGCAAGGGAAGACAAGATTATTTTTATAGCACAATACAGTACAGGGACACTTTAAAGGGCTTTACATGAATTAGATTATAAAATAAAATAAAAATAATAGCAGAATAAAAGCAAATATATTCTTAAAAGACATAAAAAAATTGGAAAACCCATTTGTTTCATCAGTCATAGGCTGTTGAAACAAATGGGTTTTTAACTTTGACTTAAAAGGCTCTCAGCACTTTAACAGTCATCTGGGAGTTTGTTTCAGATAGGTGGAGCATAGGAACTAAATGCTGCTTCTCCTCGTTTGGTTCTAATAGGGGGTTTTCAGGTGACGTCACGCTCACGTGACTACTCAGCGCGTCCGCCATATTGGGTGGCAGCCTTAGGCAGTATTGACAGTGAAAAATGGTGAAATCGTGTGTAATTGTTGGTTGTACGGCCCGTGGAGGTGGAGATCAACGCTCTTTCTATCGCATACCAGCTGTAATCATGAATCAATGTGAAAAACAAAACAGCTATCTGAACAACGCCGTCACCTATGGCTGACACGGATATCCAAGTCAGATTTGGACGCTGTTAAGCTGAAACACGCCAGAGTCTGCAGTGCTCACCTTGTCACAGGTAATTAACTGTCAAGCATTTAAAACATGTAAGAATATATTAATAATAGGGCTTGGGCGTCATGATGTATTACTTTCCGTGGCCGCAATGTTGACTGCCTCCGCCCCCGCTACTCAGACTACTGCCTATGACTACCGCGTACTGGACTCCCTCTCTCAGCCGTGTTTTAATTTGATTAATTTCACCTTAACTTGATTTCAACCAGCGGGAAAAGGCTCAAATATGTGAGAAACCCAGAGGGTTTAGGGAGGTTTGGCAGTTAACGTTACTAACCAAACCTTTGAAACACATAGCAGCTAGTTAAAAGTACATTACATGCCTGAGTGGTTGTTAGCACTAACGGTTAGCACTGTTTGCTGGCTTTATGAGCTGCAGCTCCTGAACCCATCCATTCGTAAACTGCACATGAGACTCCAAGGACTTGTAGCTTTGGAACTGTTCGCGCACCGCCGGCCGTTAGCCACCTAGCATAGCGAGCCCTGCGTCGGATTGTTTACATTTTTACCATCTTATTAAAACTCACCCGTCCACGTATGATGGCGATTTCCTTCATGTACATCAGTTCGACATCTCGTACCCAACCAGATGTGAACTGGTTGTGCGCCTCTAGACCCTTGTACGCTCTCATTTCCTCAAGAGTGTGCAGAGGGTTTTCACTGAACACCGGGTAATGAACTATGTGACCGTGCTCTACATTTGGCCAATCATCTGGATTAGTGCTAAACAAGGCACCGTGGAGGGCATAGGGGTCCATATGGTCGATCACGGAACATTTCCTCAGATATGTTCCATGATCTGGTGGCTCCAGCGTGCTGGCGTACTTATCCTTTCGCGACATGATATATTTAATATACGATAATATGCCACCCAAGATGGCGGACCGGGAGCTGGCCAGTGACATCACTGAAAACCCCCTATTCTGGGTTTACAAAGCAGGCTGGAACTAGAAGAGCATTTACAGTATAACTAATCAATAATGTCTAGAACTTAACCTGAGTTTCTTCCATCTGACACTCCATGTTAACACAGAGGACAGATGTTCCCTAAAATGCAAAAATGTAGCAGTGTCCAACTCTGATTTTCCAGTTTTTATTTCATTATTGTTTTATTAAACTGTTGTCAAATTATAAATGAACAAACTTCTTGTGTTTGGTTAATATGTATATGCTGACCCCCCCTAAACTCTGACTAAACTACTTTTTTCCCACTTCTCTTAAATTAGTTGTAGCAATAATACGTATTGTTTACACATTAAGTTAACATTTTCTAAGGATTTTATTATTTTATCTCATTCAAACATCAATCCTCTACTGCTTGTGTGCTGAGACACACAGCCATGGAAGTACATCAAATGGAAAATAAGTTTCCAATCAAAGTAATATGTTTATTCACCGCAGGAGGAAAATTGAGAACCTAGAATTACCCAGAAATAATCCTCATGCATACAGAATATGTAAAGAAAGACCCAAGGTCTTTCATACAAATTGTGCCAGCGTGCAGCCGCTCCTCCAAACCGATTAACAAAAAACTAAAATAGTATTAGAGCTTTTCAAAATGACAAAAAGGAAACTTAGTGGGTCAAAATACTTTTTTTTTTTTTTTTATGAAAACTTATTATGCTATATATATCTTTTACATTTTTCATGGTTATGGTTTTGATTTCACAGATTTTTTTAGCTGTACATTCTGATCGTATGACAGCATCAGAGCCTATGTTTACTTTCATTACATTCATATTTGGCTAAAGCACAAGCTATTAGAGGTTTCTGGAACATAAAATCACGTTATGCACTTATAGGCTTAGGTTTATATAGTTAGTAAACAAATACTTGGGTATTACATTAGATTTTGTGGATTACATTAAAATATCAAGCATTTTGGTACGGTTCTTAATATAAGCCTCGGTCCATGAGACCGTAAATATAAGGATTTAATGTGTACTCAAGTCACATGGGCTGTTCTGGGGATTCCCTCTCATACTGGAATGTATTTGTAACCACTGGTGAGAGCATGGGGACAAATATTTGGCTGAGGAAGTGGAATTGGGAAAATAATAATAAAAAAAGTAAATAAAACCACAGCCCATTGCGAGCAAAGAGGAAATTTCACCAGGCATTAAGAAGCGTCTTCGACATCAACAGGGTCTTTAAGCACGTTCTGTCTTTTCTACAGACATGACAGCAGACACTGCCCTGTCACTGGATGGTACCGGCCGCCTTGACTACGCTCTGAAACAGGGCCCTAAACGTGATGTCCTGCTAAGGCACGCGCTGCAGGGTGGGGCATCTGATGCAACCGGTCCAAGCAGCCTGGAGGTCAAGTTCAGGACGCGAAGCAAGAGCGGCACACTGCTGCACATTCAGGAAAGCAGCAACTACACAACTGTTAAGGTGAGGCATGAAGTGACAAGCTACAGTAGTCTTGGAAAAAATAAAATCTCTCCCAATCAGCGTAGTTCCATTATTACCCTTTAGGTTTAAGTTTTCCCCCAGTGAAGGCATTTGAAATGAAAGAGCATAACGCCAGATAAAAGTTTGCGTGATTGAAAAATCTGTTCATCCCTACACCTCATCAGCAAAGTGCACTCACACTCTATAACCTTTAAATAAAAGGCACTGATAAAAGTAAGATTTTTCCCATAAAGTTGCTGTTCTGGCTCCTTCAAATGGACTTTTCTGTGTGTGTTCCAACGATGAGCTACAAGTTCTAAATCCTGGACAACCAGTCAGTTTTGTTACGACCAGGCTTTTGGGATGCAGCATAAAACAGAGAGCTAGGACAGACTGTAGAAAAATACTGGTTTTTATTGAGCTGGGAAAGTACTGAAAGGTAAAGGCTTTGGAGAGTCCATGCCAAACCAAGCACTGCAGGCCCTAAAGCTTGCATTAATTCCCATCAATTCAGCCAGTCAAGACAAAACACCAGCCAAAGACCATGACCAGGAGAATAACACCTTTGAAAAATGTGTCTGACATCCTTTGGCTTTTATCTGTGTGGAGAAAACTCTCCTAATCCAAATCCTTCTGGAAATAGTTTTTGCTAATAGATTTGGCCACAAAACACTGTGAAAACTGAATATGGTTTTTGACTGAGGCATTTTTTTTGTTGTGACCGCAAACATTCTGACTTCGTTCACTAAAACAGTGGAAAATAATATGAGAATAAAATACAGGGAATCCAAGGCACTGTAGTTAAATTTAATATTTTTTTATATATATTTTTTGCCCCAATCACAAACAGACCAGCTGTGTTTGGAAAATTAAAGACACCCTATTGCTTACATATTATTTGCCAAAAAAGGGGCAGCTATTGTATTGTAACTCACAATTGATCATCATCAGTGTTATAATGGGTTGCTCCGTTTGACTCGTATGCCTCATTTAGAATGTTTGAGATTAGTGTTAAAAACAAAAACTGAACGAGTATAACTCATTTGAAAGGGTTGCCAAAAAATTTCTTTCTCTCTAAAAAATAAGGTAGAACAGCTTAGATGTGTAAAGTTAAATGTAATTTTAGAAACATTAAAACAAAGTAGAGGTGTTGCCATGATTAAAGCAACACTGTGTTTTTGTTGTTGTTTTTATCTCAGTCTTAGTTAACTTGCGATACATTTTATGAGTTTTCAGTTCAACATACAGCACTTGGCCTAGATCGATGTTCCATGCGGGCTGCTGTTCTCCAGGACTCACCTTTGTAACTTCAGATGGATGATCCGTCATGTGATCCAAACCGCAGCTTTACTGTAGATTGAGCTTTCTGCAAACAAGAGAGCTAATTGAGCAAAAATGTGTTGTAAGGCGAAGCCATATATAGTCTTTAGCTGATGATACATTTTTTTTTCTCTGATGCAGAATTCAATCTAAAGAGGTGAAGTTCTCTGAGAGTGGAGCTCCTAGTCTTTACAAGGATCTCCATAACTTCTCGATCTGCTGATCCAAAGTGGTCTAGCAGTTTCCAAACAGAGTCAGACTGTTCCATATAGCAACAGTGCAATGTTTCTCATTTATTTTAGGGGTGCTGAACCAGGAAGTTAAACATCTAGCAACCCCAGTGGTTATAAAAGTTACTTAATGTTTATTCAAAGAAAACATAAAACCTTTTTGATAAAGCTTTGACCTAAATGGATCTACAAGAAGAATATGGGCTTAACCACAGCAACAAATCCACTGCAAGTTCTGAAGCAGTATTACAAAGATCTTAAAGTTTCCTAAAAAACATCATACATCTATGTGATAGGAATATGTCTTAATGTAGCTTTTGGGTCAACATTTTTCTGCAAACAGCTTCTAAAGGTTGCCCCTGTGTTTATATAAAACAACAATTTTTTTATACCATTCAGGATTTGGGGATTTTATGTCTTTACTATTAACTCAGCACTATTGGGCTGATATTGGTTATATCTATATTTTATAGTATTATGCTTTCCAGAAAAAAGGCTACAGAAATGTTAAAGAACAAATTGAACTGTTTTTAAAGAATTTTCAAAATTAAAGTCCTACATTAAGGTTGTCATAGCCACAAAGAAAAGCGTTGTTACTTTTTTAAAGCTTTTTAAAAGTGCCACTTTTACTAAATGCAAATTACTGTTTGATTAGAATACCTTTAAAAGAAGAGTCTGGACTTACCACAACCATTTTTGCTATCATGTTGTTTCTAACAAGAATATTAATTCATATACCACCAGTCATCACTACAAACTGACTAAAGCAAAGGTTCACTGGTCTTTTAGAAAACTCCCTTTTAGCCCCTCTCCTCTTTTTCTCACTCCCTTTCTTACTGATCCTGGGCCACTGCCCAAAGAGGCCCAAACCTTCATTCATCGTCTTCAATTTTCCTTTCAGACCTCTCGGCCCCATTGACCACTTCCCACTGTAACATGAGGTTTTCTCTGCTAGGATTTGGTCTTCCAGCTCAGAGAGGCTTTTGGTGCTCATCAAATCACCATCTAAGCTTTGTGCCTTATTAAAGAATCTAGAAAAAAAATGGGTGTGGGAATGCATACTGTGTAGGTATATATAAAAAGACAACTATCTTAACAATGATATGAAAAAACAAGATGTTTAATAGATAAGTCTCATGATCCTTTTTCCAGCTGTAGAGCGCTCTGATTTCTTTGGCTTAGAGGGCTTTTTTTTCCGCATTTCCCATTTTAAATCAATTCTTCAGGAAGCTACTTATCATGGCTGACTTTCGGGTTCTTTGTAAAGGGAGGAGAACAAGATTACTTTTCCATCGAAGTTAGGGGAACACGAGATTACCATTCGCAGAAAAAAACCACAAACTCAAAGCTGATGCCAAAGAGACTCGTATTAATTTTCTTTAAAGACACATTCTCTGCTCTTTTTTTTTTTTTTTCCTGAAGTCAGAGGATGAAGCATCACACTCCCTGTGAATCCATTTGTTTGCAGGGTTTTGATTTCCTCTTGGGTGAATGGCATGAACCAAACCCACGCAAGAAGTGAGAACATGATAGAGTGCAGGGTGTCCCGGCAAGGGAAAGATTTATGAGCATCAAGCTGAATTTCTGTTTTTGATCTCTGACATCAGCATCCCAAGCAGAGAGCAGTTTGGTCTCTGTTCGGTGCAGACTCAGAACACTTTTCCTCCCATGAGCCTTGATTAATGTCGGCATGACAACGCATTGTATTTATCTGGAAAGCTGCTGTTTTTTTTTTTTTTTGCCTTTGTTTATGAAACTGCTTCTCACAGACCGAACTTTATCTGACATTGAAAAGATCTAGGGAGTCAGCTTCCCATGTTTCATCTTTGATAAGCTGAATGTTTATATTCACACAGTGATATTACAATCAAGTAGCTCATTTCATTTGCAGTACTAAGACCACATAAAGCCTTTAGATGAATGCAGCTTTTTGAAACTGTAATACACACTGTTAACAAGGTTGTCCAAAATTTTAATCTTGTTTTGGAAGGTGTTTCCAGGGTTACACTAGATCCTCTATAGATTTTACCAGCTTAGACAATAAAGACAGCGGCAGAGCTAGATGGGGGGCCAGGGGGGACCATGATCACCCTTAGCCACCCTTGTGGCCACCCTACTTACAGTTCGGTTTTTCCCATCCAAACAAAGATCGCCAACTCCTGAACATTTCAGCTTCAGGGTACCAAGGGCCTTTCGAGGGAAACAAGTCCTTGCTATCACATTTCCTCCCTTTTCCAAGGGGCTGTGTCTCCCAGACACAAAAGGATTAATTGCTTAAGATAGCATGGAGTTCTTTTCTTCCACTCAGCCATCAGGGTCATGGGATGGTTGGTACTTTTCTTCAGTAGTCCATTGGTGAAAGTCATGTTACATCCTGGAAGGATCACAAGGCAGCACAGGGGAATCCAACCATCTATAGACACACCTAAGTTAACCTAGCAGTCGTGATTTTGGTCGTTGTTTGGAAGCTGGAGCACCCGAAGAGAACCCCTGCATACACAAAGAGAACATGCACACTCCATACAGAAAGACTGTCGGACAGGAATTCAACTCAGAATTTTCCTAAAGAAAAGCAAAAGCGCTATAAATGTCAGTATGCAACCCGCTTACAGGAGAGAGCTAGAAATTTACTATAACTCATTTCGGCCAGTAGGCACCGTCATGCTCCCCCGTGCTTGTTTCAACTTTTTATTGCATATCTTCTGAGTCCCTTTGCTTCCTCTTACGAAAGTATACGGATTCATGAAACTCATAGGTGATTTTTTTTGGTTCTCTTTCAGTTGAGGAATGGCAACATCAATTACATCTCGGATGCAGGTGTTGGTGGAAAGGTGGAGCGATCTCTAGGAGACTCTGTACTGTCAGACGGCCAGTGGCACATCCTCTGGATGTTTAAGAATGGCTCATCGACTGTCCTCCAGGTGGACAGTGGACTCCCCCGACTCATCCAACATGCCACCCAAGACTTCGGAGGTCTAGGTGTTCTGACATTCTCACTGGGTGGAATCCCAACTGGGTCAGCACAACAGAAAACCGGAGCAGGTGAGAACTTATTTTTGTTTGATTTTTTTCCCCCCAATCATTCATATAGTCTTGCGTGGGTTAGGAAACTATTAGCTGTGATATGTAACACATAGCATAGCAAACATCATAAATAAAAATGTTGTTGTGGGTTGTGCTTCATCTTAGCATTCCTGCTTCCACTTATTGATATAATCATCTGACAGAAATGTGGATGTCCACCAGCCTGTGTCATTAGTAACAGCACTATAAAATTCAGAACAAGATGATCTGGAGTAAATCTATGCCTAAACAGAAAATATTAATATATTTAGTTCAAAGAAACCAACAATGATGCATTTTGGCTTCCTCTGCAGCAATAAGGGTGTTGTGGTGGCTTATTGTTATTGAGAAGCTGAACTTAAAAGGAAGTTTCATACTAAATGGTTCCTGGCATCCAACATCAAAGTCTTTCTCCATAATATGGATATAGAACTTGCAAGTAATCAGCTAAGGTGGGGGTGGTTGGACTTCTTAACATCAAAATAAGCAAGTGAAGGTGTCCTGCAGAGTTTTTATAGCTTTAGGGGCAAGGGTGTCAGAGTTAGAGTGGATGGCCCAACTGGATGTCCAAGGTTGTTGAACATCCAGGAAATAGACCAGGCCCAGTAACTGACAGTTCAGAGTAGGTTCCTGGTCGCCTAGTGTTCCTTCAGCAGTTCACAAGCAGCCAGGGCCCCAGGACAACTGGGTGATGGGATGTAGAATGTCCTAGATCCCTGCTCCCTGGTCAACAGCAATGCATTTCTAACTAGTTATCCCCGCTCACCAACTAATTTGAATTACAGCCCATAGGTTCTGATCTTTAGTGTCAGGTTTTCACTAGTTGTAAATTGAAATGATTATAATAAACGTAAACGGTTGCTTATAAAACACCAGTTGGATGTAAATAACCTATAGTTTACAATGTGATTCATTTAGAGGTCCTTCCCAATGTTCTTTGTGCATTTTCAGTTGTCAAAAAATACAGGGGTTCAAGCTGGTGTACACTTTTTTAATAATTGCATATCAACCCATATTACTGCACATTTTACTCTAATACGATCCATCTTCTCCAAGTTATCCGTTAGAATCACAGTGGGGTTGGTGCCTATCTCCAGTAGTCTATGGACAAAAAGCAGGTTACACCCTGAACAGGTTGCCAGTCTGTAGCTGGGCACATTTTGCAGTATTTGCACATTTAAATTGATGTTCAGGCAGTTGTTTTATTCTATTATGTATTTATTTTCACCATGTTTTAATAGAGTGAGTTTGTGTTCAGCGAAAGAGATGCACCAATATATTTTTTATAATCTGATAATGTTACCTGGCCCAAGCATATTGGACAACATCGGATACGGATCCGATTCAGCTATTGAATGAAATAACCACATATCCTGCTATACAAATGGCGGCTTTAGCCCTGACAAACATTATTTTTCAAAAAAGCACATAAAGATGGACGTAAATGTACTTTATATTATTTATGTTTTGAAAAAGATACATTTCTAATAGTGATACACAACAAAACAATATAATTTTAGAAAATGTTGACTTTTGGTGCCAAACATCTTCCCAGCTGTGCTGCTTTTAAATTCAAGATCAGATTTCCTTGAGCATAAGTTTTCAAAAGGTGAAACAGAGGGTTTCCAGGAGGAGGTAATGCAACACAGCAAATTTCAAAGGATTTCAAGAGGAGGGAAAAGGGCTTACGCCATGTACTAATATGGTAAAAATTAGCCATTTGAATGATTTGTTGAGGTCTTTTACGAAGGGACCATTTCAAAACAAACACACTCTCAGCACGCAGACCTGTGGCAGTCTGCCTGTTAACCAGTCTTTACCCCAGTGTGTGTCTGAATATTTGGGTTCTGTTCTATGCTCACTGCTCCTGAGCTAATGAAAAGACACAAATGGATTTAATCTGCAGTGGGATAAATTTAATAAAAAACCTGTTTACATCTGTGAGGCAGTGCTGTTAGGCAACAGGCTGAATTAGACACAAACACATTCATCCAACCCAGATGCATGTCTTGAAGCCATAATGGCCTCAGTGATGGATTCACTGTTATACCACAGTGTATATATATATATATATATATATATATATATATATATATATATATATATATATATATATATATATATATATATATATATATGGTGTGTGTATCCTTTTCTTTTTTCCTTTTTTCACAGGAAGAGCTTTCTATGAAATTTTACCTGTGGTATTGTTTTGTTCTGAGCTTGAACTCATAAGCCATCTAAACAAAATCCCTGTACCTGATTACAGCTCCCAGGTCTAGCTGTTTATGAGGACATTATCCAGGCCAAGGGATTTTCCTTTGGGTCCTCTGTTATATCCTGCTGACTGTTCTTGCAAACTCACCCTTTTCCCTTCTCTATTTTTCTGCAGGTTTTGATGGCTGCTTGGCATACGTCAAGTACAATGGGGAAAATTTGCCATTTACTGGCGAACACAGCCTTGTGACATTAACCAAGACAAGTTCATCTGTAAAGATTGGTTGCAGAGGGCCTAACCTGTGTGAGAGCAGCCCGTGTTCAGATGGCCTGATGTGTATCAACCAGTGGTACACCTATCAGTGTGTCCCACCTGGTGACTGCGCCTCTAATCCCTGCCAGAACCATGGCAGCTGCATGCCTGACTCAAATTCAGGGTTCACCTGTATCTGCTCTGAATTCTACACTGGCAAGACTTGTGAAACTCTGGTGGCCTGTCTAGGTGTGCAGTGCCCTCAGAGTACTGTTTGCACCACAGCCGACAATGGTGGCTTTGTCTGCAGCCTAAGTCCCACAGTAGAGGCCATGGTTCTGCCAATTTGGGCTGTGCCGGCTATTGTTGGCAGCTGTGCCACCATCCTTGCCTTGGTGGTGCTCAGCTTGATCCTGTGTAACCACTGCAAAGACCGCAACAAGACCAAAGTGCCAAAAGAACCTAAGGAGAAGAAACCTAACGAGAAGAAAAAGAAGAAGAAAAAGAAGAAGGGAAGTGAAAATGTTGCATTTGATGATCCAGACAACATCCCACCATATGGAGATGACATGACGGTACGAAAACAACCCGAAGGAAACCCTAAACCCGACATTATTGAGAGGGAGAATCCATACTTGATATACGATGAAACAGACATTCCCCACAACAATGAGACTGTTCCTAGTGCTCCTTGTGCTCCTTGTAACGGACCAGAAGCAGATATTGAGCATTATGACATAGACAATGCCAGCAGCATTGCACCGTCAGATGCAGATATCATCCAACACTACAAGCAGTTCCGCAGCCACACTCCCAAGTTTTCTATCCAGAGACATAGCCCGCTCGGCTTTGCTAGACAGTCTCCGTTACCACTTGGAGCAACAAGCTACACTTACCAGCCTCAATACACACAGGCCCTCAGGTCAACTCCACTAAGCCACTCCCATTCAGCCTGTCCTACCCCCAACCCTCTCTCCAGACATTCCCCAGCTCCATTTACAAAACCGTCTTCCTTCTACCGCAACACTCCCACCAGAGACCTCAACCTGGCTCGCCGTGAAGGCAGCCCACTGGATATGCACAATGACATGTGCCAACCTCCACCTATGTTTAACTATGCCACCCGGCTGGGGAGGCGTAGCAAGAGTCCACAGACAATGGCTGGCCATGGCCACACCTCCAGGCCAGGCAGCCGGCTGAAGCAGCCTATTGAACAGATCCCACTAGAGACAGGGCCTCCAGTGGGGCTGTCAATTGAAGAGGTGGAGAGGCTTAACACACCACGTCCACGCAACCCCAGCATCTGCAGCGCCGACCATGGCCGCTCCAGCTCAGAGGAGGACTGCCGCAGACCCCTATCAAGGGTCCGGAACCCAGCTGATGGTATTCCAGCTCCAGAGTCCTCATCTGAGAGTGATTCACACGACTCCTTCACCTGCTCAGAAATGGAGTATGACAGGGAAAAACCTGTCTCCTATAGCTCCAGAGTTCCAAAGCTGTCACAAGTAAACGAGTCAGATGCTGATGATGAGGACTATGGCGGGAGGCTCAAGCAGAGGCGGTACTCTAGCCGGCGGGCAGAAGGAGGGCCTGGCATTGCCCAGACACCTTCCAGTGAGCAGCACTACACCTTATCCCACAAATTGGGTCAGCAAGCTGGAGGCTTCAACTGGGACAATCTTTTGAACTGGGGGCCTGGCTTTGGACATTATGTTGACGTGTTTAAGGACTTAGCCTCGCTACCTGAGGATGCTGCAGCAAAAGACATTGAAATGAACAGTGGGGATGGCTCTGTAACCATTCTTAATGAAGGAGAAGCTGAGCAATATGTATGAAACTATTTATTACAGTGTTGTAGATTATTGTCATTCTCCATTTGAAAAAAGGAAGATTGTATATTTTGTGAGTACATTAAACTTTTTATTATTACTCAACAGCAAAAGACGACTTTTAATGCAGTAAGGCAGAAAACCGGTGAATGATTTCACTGTTGCCACCTTGGAAGAGTTTACCAGTCTTTTCTATGTTTAAACTATACAAACTGTGCATTCATCTCTTTGAGGCCTCATTACAGTATATCTATCAATACTGGGTGAGTTTAGGAGTAAAACCCTCCCCTGAATTAAATTTGGGAGTTTACATTATCCATCCATCCATCCATTTTCTAACACGCTTATCCCGAGTGGGGTTGCGAGGGGTGCTGGTGCCTATCTCCAGCAGTCATTGGGTGAGAGGCGGGGTACACCCTGGACAGGTCGCCAGTCCATTGCAGGGAGTTTACATTATCTTAATGACATTTTTTTGTTCCATATTACCAATAATGTTTCCCCTCCCAGAAGAAATCGAGTCAAGAGATAAGAGACCGGCTTAATATTGATTCCGAGAAAGCCAATACTGAACGGAATAAAGGAATCTTTCTTAAGGGGTGCATTGTTAGTTTTGTAAAATTAAGTAGATGTGTTAGATCTAGGATTACCTGATGCAGAGCTTCTGAAAAATAAGCACTTATGATGTGTTGTTGCCCAATGATATGATCTCTTTCCGTCCATCTTTGCCTTACTTTGGATCCTCCCTTTAGACTGGCTAAACACTTCAAGAGTGAAAGGTATTAACGTCTGCTGCCTTACAGACATTTAAGGATTCTGTTTCATTGGCCTGAGGAGATGTTATCTTTTCGGGAAAATAGATTTTGCTAAAATATTGCATTAACACTCTCTGACCAGCCAATTGTCTCTCTGGCACTTATGAAAATGAAAATGTTGATCCTGTAAAACATGACCCTAACTAAAACTCATTGAACTTATGTACATTTCTTATTATTTTATGAAAATTCACAGTCATTTGTCACATCAGTGGTGTCCTTGTCTATTATGTTGACATGTATGGTTTCAACATTTTTGTACTGTTTATTAACTTAAATTACTTTAGATGTGTTTTTATGCAAATTTTCATACGCTGAAGTGTTACATTCTTACTTTCGGGGAAAGTAAGGTTGATTACTTATTTTTTACATTTGTTACATTACGTAACATCAGTGTTTTCCACTTTTGATAAACTATAACATGTTGTATGCTTTGTACCTGTAAAAAGCCAATAACAGAATAAAAATGGTATTTATTTAAAAGGAGCTTCTCATTCCTTATTTCTGAGTATCTCATTGAGATGCATGTTGGCGTCTGCAGTTTCTAGAAATAGATAAAAATCATTTGGGAGCTAAGTTATTCTCCATCTGTGCAGGATTTTAAATGATACACAGTCTTAACAAAACATTTAAGAAAGCTTTTTAAGACCTGAATGAAATTGAGCCACATCACTCATAGCCAAACCAAACACGGAATGGACTTCATGACACAGGGCTCCCCATTGCTTTTTACAATTATTTACACATGGTTTATTTAACAGAACCCTTATATTTTATTGTAGCTCGGCGATTTTGAATGTTCATCTGCTCAATAATTTGAGTGTGGCATCCTGAGAGCATAGAGAAGATTGATAGTAAAATTAGAGCAATAAACCACTGAAGCTGAGAAAATAACACTTTCTTGGAGTTAATTGAGAGCCTGGGTCAATGAAAGGGGTGAAAAGACTGAATCTCATTTAGATTGCTCATCTTATTTCTTATTTGTCCTCTACATTTTTTTTATGTCATACAACCAGAACATGCAGAATATTTTTTTTAAAGATTGTTCTATTCATTTAATTAAAAAAACTATTCAATCATTCCCTATGTGTGGGGGAAAAGTAATGCCTCATAGACCCCATGAGGTGATTGTGATAGTATATTGTTACCAACCCATCATCCCATTCATGCAGCGTCTTGGTTATAACTAAAATAAAAAGTTGGTTAAAACACAATCTAAAAGTAGCAAATCATAAAAATCTCAGAGGAACTTTAACAACTGCAATTGAATTGAGACCTGGTTGCATTAACAGGATTATGGGTCATTTCCGTCTGGTATTTAATTTTTAATTTTCTTTGAAATACTGGGCAAGGAAAATATTTATTGATGATTTAGAGTAATTTTTTTTAACAACGAATCATTATTGCTCCCTCGTCCTATGAAATTGCAAAGAAAACATTTTAGATCAACTCTCAGACCTTTTTTTAAAAAAAAAGCTTCTTTATGGATCTTTATAGTATCGGTTTTATTTTAATTTCCTACTTATGACAGAAATACACAGATGAAATCAATTATATATCACAAACTAATCTTAGTTTGTGTTATTATCAAAGGCTAACTCACTGTTTCAATACAAAGCTGTGAACTTAAAAGAACAACATGAGGAAATTGGAGAAAAAATGTACTTCGTACTCCAAGTGGAGACGTTTTTAACATTTTTAAGATTTTGGAACTGTTAACTTTTCATGATGGTAGAGAAAAATAAAATCTTTTTGGTACCTACACAGAATCATATCCCTCTGAGCCATCCACTCCTTTAACATTCTGCTGTAGTGACTTTATGAGAGTCTTTGCTAATAGAATTGCTACTGTACATGTTATTGTAGAACCTGGTCCTTGTTTAGACAGTTTTGTTTAAAAAATATAGCTTAATCTGATCTCTATTTGCATGTTAGAGCAAATAAAAAAAAATACTTTAGGGAAGTGTTTACTTTGATGACTGTCTCTATTTTAGGTATGACTGATAAATAGATATGTAACACAGCCTTATAGGTAGCTATAATTAAGCCTTTACTCAAAAAACTATTGAAAATTAAGATTACTTTTGAGTTATAGAGCTGTATTTGTCTTTATTCCACATCTCCCAGATTTAAGATAAGTGCTAAAATACACAAGTTAGTCTATCTGCGCATAAAGGTTTCAGTTTAAAGAGGAAACTTAGGTCCTAGACAGCACCTACCTCTTTGTAAGAATCTCTGAAGAAATAAAGGACACATACCATAACGCTATCTCAAGTGTACTGTAGCATCCCTCTCTTATAAAATATCAAACTCTCTCACATAAATATACTTCACTCTGTGTCCCTAGCCAAGAACCTTAGCTTCCTCATAGCTCCCAAGGTGCTGTTAGATGCTCACTGTTTTCTCGTGATGATGGGTTAACTGTTGAAGATAAATTTCACTGGAATGTAAAATCACAATGACAAAATTGAGATTACCTTAAAATGCCACTGATATTTTTCCAGATGTGTCATTTGAATTGAGAAAGCTTCCTGGAGAGGTGGCGAAACGTCTTCAAATCTTGGAAACCAAGTCCAGTGGATATTTTTTGAATTTTTACGGAATGACTATGACCTGGATGACTGAGAACCTTCATCAGCATGTGTCATGTAACTGTTATCTTGAGCTAAACTCTTTACAAAGCAAATAATTAAAGAGGTGTAAGGATTTCAGTTTTTTTTTTCAAATATAAGTAGGAAACATAAGAAAATTTAAATGTTTTTAAGTAAATTTACTTATAGCCCATCCTAAATTTTCAATATTTCCTTTTACATTTTAATTATGGATTTTAATTGTAGTGTGTTTTTTAAGGTCCATTGCACAAGTTTAAAAGGTCAAGGTCAACAATTGCATGACATTTAAGTTTTCCTCTTGTTATCACAATTGAATTCTCTGCATGTCTTCACTCATCCGGCTACTTTTTTATTTTATTTTATTTTTTTAATAATTACACAAACTAAAAATGCACCTCAAACCCTGTGACAGACTCCACACAAGAGTAAGAAAATCAAACTTTTGTCCATTGCTAGGAAAAAAGGTGAAATTAGAATGTGATTGTCAATGGAATAGTAGAACAGTTATTAAAGGGGAAGCTGTCCGGAGTTCTTGCTAGAAAGGTAAGTTGTTCCGTTCAAAATAACTTCAATATTTGATATTATTTATATTTCTAACTCTCTTACACAAGAAGAGATTTTGCCTCTGAACAAAATATCTGCAGCTTATAGCAGCAAACTGCTATAATATTTATTTTCTCTTATTTGTGCACAACACTGGTGTCATTTCAACATGGCGCTAATGTCTGCAAAACCTGTGTTATGCTTCTTTGGAGCTGCTTATTAAAAACTGTCCTTTAAGAATAGTGGTATATGTTTGATATGATAGATGTAAGAGAGTTCCATGGTTTGTATGAGAAAGTTTGAGTATACTAATGTTTGTGAGAGGGTTTGGTTGTCATATAAACGTAATTTTAAATTCTGCATCATAGGCAGTTCAAACGTTTTCCTTTCATGAATATGATTTATCCGACAGTTAAATGTTTTGATGTGAAACATTCAAATGTTTCAAATCATGCTGAAACTACTATAGACCTTATTTTATTAAGATCTGTACGTAGCTGGGTTTTGGTTTAGTGTATGAAATGTCTTGCCATATTTAGTCACCTACTCTGTACTTGTCTGTTATAAAAGGCATGTCTGGTTATTCCTGCAGTCTTCCCTGTATGCCTTGTTGTTGCTGATTATCTAAAACTCTGCCATGTGCAGCGGACACCTTGCTTCCATTGTTTTCATTAATAATATATTATTAGGTACCTAAAAGTTATCATATTTATTATGTATAGTTTATATATCTATCTTCCTAAGGAACAATGTTTGATAAATATGCTGATGTCGGTTTACATAGCACATATTTACATATAAAGTCATATATGATTACTGGAAAACTTGTGATGTACCAAATCGACTGCCCTAGAAAATGTATAATTTCGCAAATCTATATAATAACCACTCCCTGAAACAAGTGCAAAAGGAAATGGGTCAGGATTACACTAGTAATGGGAATTAGCACAAAGAATAGGTGAATTTAAATGATCCACTGACCCTCATCCCTCACAGTGCTTCATGTTTTAAATGTTTCTCCTTACAGACACCTTGTAACTACATGACCTCCTCAGCAAGCCACCAAGTGCTTCAAAAGACTAAATCACCACTTCATTTAAGTCAAGTGTCAAGCATCAAAACATGCAGGACCGTGGCTCCTTGAGGTCCAGTGTTGAGAAACTAAAATAAACTTAACAGTTTTCCTCTCAAGAACTGCCACCTCTTCATTTCTATAGGCTTGCAACAGGGGCGTCCATCAACAAAAGGAACATTGTTTGCCTAGTGTGGTAGTGTATAAACCATCCATGAGAACTGAAGGCAATCTATCTTGTTGATTGTCTTTGGGAGCAACATGCTGTCTATCGTTTGATGGGGTGTTACTATTTTCTTTCCCACAAATGCTGCTTTTAGTTGTTTTCCAGACTGCTGCCTGACTTCACCAGCTTGTACGGGAGGTTATGATGTGTTTAAGGATTAATTGCAACATATATCTTTAAGAGAAAACATTTCATGGTACATTATGGGACATGGCCTTAAAGAACTTGGGGCATATGTTATTCCTGTCAGCCAAAATGTGGTTATTTTACTGGGTTGTGAGCTATTTGTGTTAATAATGATATTTAAGTTCCATTTTAAAATGTCAGCTGTGATGTGTTTCCCACTGGTGAGAAGCAGCTTATTCATCTTGAATGAAAGTGTGAAAGAATGAATTAGAGTTTCCCATGATAAAGGAGTGCTGTGCCATTTTTTTTTCCTCTGCTGAGGTTGTCAGAGTCATCAAAGCTTAACTTCTATAGGGATGATTTCCAAACTGACTCAATGGTTTTCTTTGAATTCCTGCAGGCAGGGATCAGGGAGTGTTGCATGGTGGATGCATGCTGCTGTAGTTTGCCGCACTTTTGCCTTGCAGAAATGTAATCCTTAGTTCAAAAACCTGACTGAAGGGCTTTTTGCATTTCGTTCGGAGGTTCTCTCTGGCTTTCCAGAATCATCCAAAACATGACCATCTGATTGGTGATTAAACTGCCCCTTGTATTGCCATGTGACACACTGGCAACAGGTCCATGGCATATCCTGCCTTTTGCGGAAAGTCTGGTGGGGATATGCAAGGTTTAAAAAAGTTTGATAGATGGAAGGTTTAGAATGAAGTTCTCCTTTACCAACACAAAATAAGATACAGTTAATGTAGGTTGAAATCCTTCTCTACCCTCCTGTGAGTTGAGTGTTACTGTCAACCAAACCATGAGATGCAACACTGACTCTGACTCCGAAACCTGCCCCTAAACACTAACCCTGAGCGCTAACACACCCTTTACGCGTTCCCATGGAGGGTCCGCCACATTAAGT